GTGTTTGTGTTGGTGGTTTTTTTTTTTTAAAATTAAAAACACCCCCCACCACTCTTAATCTTGCAGGGAACCAAATATCTGTTCGAGGAGGTGAAGCACTGGCAGAGGCATTGAAAGTGAATAAAACACTGACCACTCTTAATCTTGCCTGGAACCAAATATCTATTCGCGGAGGTGAAGCACTGGCAAAGGCGTTGAAAGTGAATAAAACTCTCACCACTCTTAATCTTTCTGTAAATCTAATATCTGTTGGAGGAAGTGAGGCAGTGGCAGAGGCATTGAAAGTGAATACAACTCTCACCGCTCTCGAACTAGGAGGGAACCAAATATCTGATGGAGGAGGTGAAGCACTGGCAGAGGGATTGAAAGTGAATACAACTCTCACCACTCTTTATCTTCGGAGTAATAAAATCTCAGACGGAGGAGCTGAAGCACTGGCAGAGGCATTGAAAGTGAATAAAACTCTCACCACTCTTTATCTTCAGAGTAACAAAATATCAGATGGAGGAGCTGAAGCACTGGCAGAGGCATTGAAAGTTAATACAACTCTCACAACTCTTAATCTTTCTGAAAATTTAATATCTGTTCGAAGAGGTGAAGCACTGGCAGAGGCATTGAAAGTGAATAAAACTCTCACCACTCTTGATCTTTCCTGGAACAAAATATCTCATGAAGGCGGGGTAGCACTGGCAGAGGCTTTGAAAGTGAATAAAACTCTCACCACTCTTGATCTTCGGAGTAACGAAATATCAGATGGAGGAGCTGAAACACTTGCAGAGGCATTGAAAGTGAATACAACTCTGACTACTCTTGATGTTTCCTGGAACAAAATATCTGATGGAGGCGGGGTAGCACTAGCAGAGGCATTGAAAGTGAATACAACTCTCACCACTCTTGATCTTTATGGGAACCAAATATCTGATGGAGGCGGGGTAGCACTGGCAGAGGCATTGAAAGTGAATAAAACTCTCACCACTCTTTATCTTCGGAGAAACGAAATATCAGATGGAGGAGGTGAAACACTTGCAGAGGCATTGAAAGTGAATACAACTCTGACTACTCTTGATCTTTCCTGGAACAAAATATCTGATGGAGGAGCTGAAGTACTGGCAGAGGCATTGAAGGTAAATAAAACTCTCATCACTCTTGATATGCGGAGTAACAAAATATCTGATCTAGGAGTTGAAGCACTGGCAAAGACATGGAAAGTGCTTTTCTGATAGTTATGTTTTTTTGTACTTTTGTACTTTTGTTATTCTGAGGCATTGTAAGGAAATAAATAGGAAATAAAACTCTCATCACTTTTGATCTTGGTGAAGCGTATGGACGGTGAATAAGCATGTAGTTATGATAGTCGGTTTTTTTCTGAATTATCACTTTCACTTTAATCTAAAAACTTTGAAGTATCAGTAATAGATACAGAATTTTATGTGGACTATAAAATGCAATAGATTGTCCTGATGTAAATAAGTTCAAATTAGATCAGTTTTACGTGGATTTTTTTTTTAGTGTATTCGAAGTGTAAAACTGACGTCGTTTTAGATTAGAATTATTTTTGACCGCGTAGTAAGATTATTTAAGACATTTTACTATCGGTATTCCACAACAAAAAGAAAGATTGTTTCTAAAATTAAACTATCCATTTTTGTAGAGACTTAAATACTCAATCGTATACACGAATTTACTTATGCGCGAATTTTTACTTGATTGGATAACATTAAAAAGTCTAAGAATAAAAGTGCGCCATTCTTTATGCACCCGGCGTTAGAAAAAAAGATTGTCTCTGTAGAATATGTTTCTGCAGGTTATCGGCTATGTTTTCACAAATAAAGTCTATAAATGATCAATTAATATTGATCAGTGTTTAGCACCATTTATTAACAATAACGCCACAATTAAAAACAAAAGTGATACCGATCACATTCACGACACTATTCCTACTTCGTTTCATCAAATACGCAGTTGTACTTAAAATGAGTTTACTTTATAAACATTATCGACATTCTATTTGAATACATGTAGAATCATGTGTTACACATACTTTTATATATAAAAAAGATTTCATCGAAAACGAGACAGTAGAAGACTCTTGTAATTTTAAACTATGACTGGAAGTGTTGAAATCACAATTAAAATCGATGATAGAGATGTGTAAATCGCCCTTACCTTACGCTACAGGACTAAGGCTCCAAAGTCACAGAGCAGGGGATGGCCAGGTTTCGTTCAAGCATAACATCCGGAAATCGCCGTCGCCGCGGATTCGGTGTTAAAGTGTTAACACTTTACCACTTTAACATATACGAACTCAATGATGCCCGTTCAAGGAAGATGGATTATAGGGTGTCCTAAAAAAACTTACTGCTTTTTGTAATGCTCTTCTATAGCTTTAGAATTCAATTTTTGATCCAATTCTTTTTGCGATAGAAAGAGCTAAAAAAAAGCTGCTCACTAGAACTGTTTGTATTTTGAAAAGATTCCACTATAAGCTTATATTTAATAAATTCTTTTTAGCTTCTGCTAGCAGAAGCTAAAAAGAATTTATTAAATATGAAAACTGTGCTGGAACGGCACATCTTCACCAAGAAGTAAAAAAGGAGCTGTAAAATAACTGTTGTTGGTTTGAAGTTTGTTGTGGTTTTCGAGTTCCTAGTATTTTGTTAATGAAAAGAAATCCACATAATTCTTGGTTATTTTTTAAAGTATTTTTAATTTTCACACGATCTTCTAAGCTTAATGCTAATTAATGTTATATGCTTCTTCATTGTACTTTACTTTATTTCTTATTAAGAAAGCAAACTTTAGCAATCATTTAGGCATATTTTTGTAGCCATTTAAAACCTCTATCTATTGAATATAACCGATCGTGGTTAAAGCTAATTCAAGTGGTAAAATAGTGAAATCCATACATCACACCTCTTTACAGGGTGAGCCCAAAACAGCTTACCACCTCTGTATTTATTGATGTTCTTGTGTACAGATATAATTTGAACTTTTTACCATTAGTTTAGTTGAGTAGAGCAAAGATTTCTGGACAAAATGAGACTTCTCCGAACTCTCTAAGAGCTTTTCTCATAAAACAGCATTTAATTTACGGAAGGCACTAGGAGCGTATCTTTGTTATTTTCCCGTTAATTGTCTTGATTTTGATGGTATGGGACCTTCCGTGAATTGAATGCTGTTTTATGAGAAAAGCTCTTAGAGAGCTCGGAAGCGTCTCATGTTGTCAAGAAATCTTTGCTCTACTCGACTAAACTAATAGTAAAAGAAAGTTCAATTATATTTATACACATTTGTACACAAGAAAACCAATAAAGATAGGGAGCGTAAGTCTTTTTTGGGACGCCCTGTATAGCGTTGCCACAATAGTGAAATCAGCCGCTAGCGACAGAAAATGATGATTCACATAAAAAAAATGAAGAAAATATTGCCAATGACATTCTCCAAATAAAGTTAACTAAATAAAAAACTTTTTAAAACAAAGAATTTTCGATCTTTCTGTACGATAGGCCTAGTCGACTTATGTATGGGAAAAGGATCTCACTAGATTTTCTTCAAAATCTGCCATTCTATATAGGTATGCACCGGTATCGGTATTCATACCGAAATACCGATACCGAAAATACCGATACCGGCAATACCGAACTTCGGTATCGGTATATACCGATGTTCGGTATTTTCCGATACCGATACCGATGCATACCTAATCCTATATTACCAAAAGATTATGAGTGGTGTGTGTAGCCTGCCTCATGGCGAGTCAAACCATTTTTTTTTCTTTTGAAACGTTGGGCACGTAGTGGAAAAAGAACTTTTCTGATGACTATTCATGTTCAATGTATTAATAGTAAAAAACCTCATATCTCTAATCTTAGATCAGTCGGTTTGCAGCACTGAATAGCAGAGGGCGAGGTGAACAATATCCTTTAGAAAAAATGTTTTAAATCTGCGTAACACCCATCTTCAAGCATACGTTTGCTTAAGTGTTTTACGATCATGAAGACTTTATATGTAAACTATTGCTGTAACTTTTTGTCTAATATAATGTTACCAAATAATTTAATGCTAAAAAACATTCTTGGATGTTCTTGTTTATTGCCCTGACGATCTCGTTCAAAATCGCGTCCGGCATGGTGAGATACGAGTTTTTGATGGTTTATAGATTCTGAAAAACTGCGGTGCAGTTCTGAAAATCTCAGGCTTTGAGCTCCATTTTCTTCAAAATTTTTGAGTAGAATTCTTTCAAAACTGTTTTACGAGTACCTCTCACCTAACACCACTAGTGTGTCCAGTTTCGAAGTTCCTATATTTGGGCTACGTGAGATATCGAGAACCTATTATCCAGAAAACCTCTGGAAAACCAGGTGTTGGCAATATTTCCACAGTGGTCGAAAACGTACAGTAAAATAATCCTCTCTCGAGTGAGACGTCTACCACCTTTATCGGAGGTTTATTTACTGGCACAGAAGCCTGAGATTTTCTGAGTATGCTGCAGTTTAATGAGGAAAATCTTAGATTTATAAAAAAATTCTGCGGCTCACAACTCGTAAAAAGCTTCGTATCGCTGATGACAGCATGAAACTCGATTTGAGATGATCTCGTCCATAATAAGGGATATTTACTCTTACAATAAACCAAAAAACCACTTTTACAAGCGTCCTTGACCGCATATTTAAATTGGCCTATCAAAGACGAATTGAATAATACATAGTAGGATAATTCTTTCGTATTTTAGGAAGGGTATCGATACTTTTAGGGGATTATAGTAATCTGCGTTTTTCTCCTCAACAAAAAAATGCTTCGAGCTGAAACTTTCAGCATATATGCAACCTATTATAGGTGAAAAAAAGGATGAAAAATGGAACGAAAAGGTTGTATAGGTGTATAAACAAAACCTACTTTCCAGAAAATGGCGTGGCATACAGCATGAAAATAACATTTTTGCAAAATGCTTGCCGTTTTTCGAAAAGATAAGTAAAGAAATCGAACTTTTAACCAAAAGTTGAGCCTACCGCCCTTCCCCGTTAAGGTATTAGTCAATATTCAGTAATTTACACGATATTTTAGAGAGCGGAAAATCGTGGTAGTGCGTATATAACCGTTGTCTGCTCGAATTCACTTGGCGGTTGAAGCTAAATCACTTATTCACATATATACTCTGAAAGATTAAAGCCTTTGATACAAACTGGTAAAAAAAATCAATGTTAAATCTTTATGCGAGCATTAAAAATTCATTTTTTCCAGGATCGGATGCGGCGGAAATCAGTATATACGATAATGCGCCTGCCTGATATATATCGCTCATTCGTCTTTGCGGAGCCGTTATTTTATGACTCAGAGATACTATGGAAATTGTATTTGTTTTCACGCTTATTTTTCCTTGTGTTCGGTTTACCTGATAAAAAAGACAGTTAATTTGCAAGGTTATTCAAATCACTGACGCATATCGTCAAAACAGCGTCATTTATTAAGACTAACAATAATTTATATTTGTTATCTAGTTTATTAGTGTAAATTATGAATAGACTATTTCTGTGGAGAATACTACTATTAATTGGAGTAGTACTTTCATTTATTGCTTTAATACTGGGTAAGTTTTCAATATAAATGCGTGTAGTGGATATATTCATCTGTCTTTCTTTTACTGTGCATTATTTGTATAATAGTTTGCTTTAAGTGCCTAAACTTAAAAGAGCATGTCTGCTACAATTGTTATGTAGTTCTTTCCAGTTTCTGAGATGGCTTTTTTCGAAGAATTATAGACTCTTTGAAATTGAAATAATTCTAATTACCAATTCGAAACTGAGGCATATCTGTATTTTCTTTCATTCCATTTTTGTAATCTTTTTCTGCACTTTAGGATGGATTGGATTTGGTGTACCACAATGGCATCAATTTCGTCGATATACGTCAAGTGACAAAGAATATTATGGTTTATGGTCTTACTGTCAAGATCAAAATGTTACAAAAGTATGTCAACGATGGCCTACAGCTGAAAAAGAATTATATAATAATGGCACACGTCCGCACTATGTGAGCATTACCGAAGCTCTAATCACAATGGGAATGATTTTATTAACACTTGGTTTACTTGTAGCCGTTATAGCAGCATTAATACCACTATTAGTATTTCTAGGTGCTGCTATAGGAATTTTCTCATTCATTCTTCTTCTTATTGGTTTACCGGTGTTTGGTCGTGAAGCAAATAGTTTATCAAAGGAACGTGGTGATGTTCAGTATACCCATCGTTACGGATTTTGGTTGTTTGTTCCCGTTATTATTTTAGAATTTTTAGCTACCATGTTTTGGATAGGAGCCGGTATCTTATATGAATTATACGGTTTTGGAAATGTTTCAACAAGAGGATATTACACATTAGACAAAGTAAAAAGACCAGGTAATGGAATTACTGGTAAACCAAGAACACCAATGCGACCAACTATTAATCGAGCACCATCGTCTATGTATCAGTCATTCGCCTCTTTGCCGTCAATTATGCAGGCTACGTCAGTGCGACTTAATACTCCACAATCGCAAATGGTTTATAACCGACCACCAATACTCAGTATACCAAACAGGGCACCATATCTCAGAATATAAGAGAATATTTTCAAAGAATTCAACTAAGTTTTTGCCGCCAAAATATTCGTTTATTATATGCTGATGATCTGTTCCTTTAGATGAAAGGAAAATTATGAATATATTTCCATATAATTATACGTATTTGGAATACACGAACCACAAATAACTATGCAGGATGAAGTGATTAGGAACAATTTACTTTATCTCATGACAGAGGTAGATGAAAATGTTTTCACATAGCCTTCAGACTTCTACCTACCCTCTCGAGTACGATACTCCAGTACCAAATTTTTGTGCTTGATACCTGCACTCGAAGGTCGTTTCAAGTCGCACACTTATACCTGTACTGAAGGCTTAGACCTCAAGTTCTTATAACAACGCTCTGCAACGGGATCAGTGTGACGTAGTTTACTAAACATCAGGCGGCCTGATGAGTACAGAGGAATTGAAAAGAATAAATAATGCACGTGTACAATATATGGTTCAGTTGTGATGCACACACATATGATAGGTGTGGAGGAAATATCTAGCTAAGAGGATACGCAAAGTCGATCATAGCGAAACAGATTAACCGTTTGATATTATATTTTATTAGTACGAAATAAGAAACTGTTATCAGCGTTTTAAGAAAAAAGTCGTTTTCCTACTCATACTGATAGACGGTATTCAGGTATACATACTGGACTCGTTCTTCAAAGATCTTTTATCTTTTAGTATCAAATGAATCAAACTTCGTACTTGAAACGTATCATGTTGCCAGCTTCGGCGCCATTTTTTTCGCCATTTGGCGCGACTTTTTCGTCATCATCCAGAGTATTGGCGCTAGTAAGTGTCAAACAGCCCCATCAAAGAAGTAAAAAACCCGATTATTTGCATTACGTTTCAAATCAACGTTTATCATCTTGACACTACAAGATAAAAGATGTTTTATTTTTAGTATAATTAGGGGTGAGGAGCCTCCAGAAATCCGTAGGTATTTAGGAAAAATACTCTTCTCAATTTAGCAGAAAGAAACTGCTATGTTTTAATGTTTTAATAGATGAGATACATTTTTTGACAGACCTAAGTGCCCGCTATTTCATGAGTTACCGCAAAAAGTTTTTCTGCATGCACATACTTGGGAAGGAGTTGCAGGTAAAATAGGCTTTTTGAGAAACTCATTGCGAAAATCAATATCAACCAAATATAAGTTCATCAACAGCTTCAGCATGATCGGAAACGTTTGAGTTTTCTTTCATAATCTTTTTTTATTTTCTGCCACACTTCTCAAATCACAGATTGCTTTTCGCTGTTCCATGGGGTGTCAGATGATTTAATAGTCGTCAAGATCTGACGGCTAGAAAAAAGACATTTTTTTCGAAGCCACGTCTTTTTTTTCAAGCGTTCTGAAGAAAGCCAAGAATTTAAAAAAGCTACCATAATCATTCCGCAAAATAAAGAAGCCGTTTCCATTAGAGATCAATTCTAAATTCTTCTAGGCTTTGATAAGCTTCTTTGAGAGCGTAGTTGTGTCGAAAGTATTTAAAAACCACTACTTTCTCTAAAAGACATGTGAAACACGGGTGCTCCAAAGTCATAAGTTTTAAAAAACGTTTCCAGAGAGTCACAATAGCGACTTTCTGAACCATTCCTGTACTCCAGGTAAAAAGCGGATAAAAAGTTGAGTAATTTCATTCTCAAAATAGATTTTCTCCTTGGACATTTCCAAAACATTCGCGGATATCATTTTATTTAGGAACGGACACTAATTTTAAAAGCATATTATGAGCTCAGATTTTAATCAAATATAGCTTTGTTTATCATTCAAGAAAACGGCTTTTAAGCTTGTTTGAATGACGCAAGAATTAGGGCTTCGACACGTTTTATTACTTACACGTTTGTGGCTGTTATACCCACTTTTATAAAAATGCACTCCTATTGGCCAATCCTCCCTGAAAACTTCGTCAACAGTTTTGGTATCGTCATTCACATCTTACTCGACTAGTATCACAAAAGATCCCACCTTATTTAGCTAGAAGTGTGAAAATGCTTCAATAATTCGGATAAAAGGATTTATATTTATTATTCATCACTAACACCAAATTTATGATACTCCAAGTCATTTTTTACTCAGTGTAAGTTCAAATCATCGAATACATCCATAATCTAATAAAATAATTATAACAATTCTGAAATCCTTTATAAGATTCAAACTTAATCCATTGTCTGATAGTCAAAAAGATACAAATAGTCTAATACTTTCTAGTCTAAATAACGAACGCATTAAGTATGTTATAAGAATGGATAACCAAATACGAAATTAGGCATTGGGCTGATCATAAAAGGAAACTAACTTGATTTCTTTTAATTAGTAGACATCGGGTGTGAGACAAGGAAAAAGGAGATAAAGAAGAAACGAGAAATGAAGCTGGAAATATAGCGTGTTCGCACAAAGAACGGAGGTCCATAAACGGCAGAATCCACCCCCTCTTAAATAATTATTTTATACAGAGATTTGAAGTTGTTTCTCGCCAGCATTAATACTGGTACATTTCTAAACCTTAAAAAACGCTTTCTGATGCTCCCTGGCAACACTTTCGCATTGAAAAGCTCTCTCGCGTTGCATCGACTGTACTTAGAATATTTTCATTATTTCACCTCTTTTGCTTACAAAAAGCTCAACTATTACATACCATTCGAGACAGAATTTGCGAAGGCTACAAAATGCTATATAGATTATTGCGAATAAAATGTAACTGGGTAGTCTAGCATCAAAAATACTCTGTAGCATGTGAGCAAACTGGTAGATCAACAAGAAAAACCAGGTCATGTGTAAAACTTTTCTAGTAGAATTGTATCGTCTTTTTTTCATTGGCTGGTAGCCCGAGATCTTCTCTTCAAAACGTGAACCAAGCGATACCTTCATTTACGCCGGCTCGGGACTTGTACCCCTACATATTCTAGGACTGGCACCCGGTGACTATTGGTACCGTAGAAAGCTGCTGCATTATAGGTAATCGATAATGCTGAGTCTTGTGGTTATATTTGTTTTTAGAAAAAGTCTTAAAAATGTAGCGGAAAGCGAGGTTTACGCCCAAATTAAGGTCTTCAAACTGTTTTCATCTAATATTAAAAAATTCAGTATTCACTCAAGAAACATCAGAACAAGTTCGACCGCCTTGACAAATTCGCAAAACTTGCTAGATCTGCTAGATTTTTAAATCTTTTTCTAAAAGAACATATGGACACGAGACTTCCGTATTGGATAGGAGATCTCGGACTACCAACCCATCAAACAAAGTCAATAGAATCCTATTGGAAAATTTTTACACACGATCTGTTTTTTCTTGTTGACCTACCAATTTGCTGACATGCTACAGAGTATTTCTGATATTAGACTAACCAGTTACATTTTATTTGCAATAGTCTACATAGCATTTTGTGGCCAGTTAAATTTTGTACCGAATGGTATGTAATTGTTGAAAATATTCTAACGAGGAAACCACTCCAGCTGTCCGATCGCTTTTTTCATGAAACCTAGTGAAAAATAGGTAATCTAGTTTGCCGAATCTGAATATCATAGTGGTTTGGGCATCTAGTCCTCCGGAGATCGTTTTCTGGAACATCAGTTTTTAGAAACTCTAAAAAATAACCAAAACGTTTCTTAATGAGGCATGATTGTAGTCCACAAATTTCTGATTAAAATAAGACATCTCCCAGCTCTACACGACTTTTCTTTCCAAAGTTATATATCTTACAGAAAAGCCCTAAATGTTCATTGTCAGCTCAAAGCTACAGAAATAAGAAGAAATTAATTTAGGGCTTTTCTTGTAAATTCTATAACTTTGGAAAGAAAGGTCGTGTAGAGCTGGGAGATGTCTTATTTTAACCAGAAATGTTCGAGCTACAATTATGTTTCACTAGAAAACGTTTTGGTTATTTTCTAGAGTTTCTGAAAAACTGGTGTTCCAGAAAACGATCTCCAGAGGCCTAGGTGTCCAAACCACTATGATATTTGGATTCAGTACACTCGATTACTTATTGTCCACCAGGTTTCGTGAAAAAAGCGATCGGACAGTTGGAGTGGTTTCCTCGTAAGTATAATCGACGCAGCCCGAGAGAGCTTTTCAGTGCGAAAATTTTGCAGGCAGGATCAGCAAGCGTTTTTCAAGGTCAAACATGATACAACATATATTCAACTGCATTATGGTTTCGCATGCAATTTTATACGCTGTCGTCCAACATTTTATAATTTGGTCGTTGTTACAATTGAAAATTTACATGAAACAGTTTGATACGATATACTTTTTTGAAAAATAATCCTATATTCTGATAGCGCTGGAAATTCTCAATCACCCTGTATATAAATGTCTGGGCTTGCACTTATTTGCTGAAAAACATTTCGAGTACAATGGAGACACCCTCATTCTTAGATTTCCACAAATTCCATTTTCTTCCTTTTTCATTCGTTTTTTAAAGTTATTATGAGTAAGGAGATACCTTTTTACAAAAGTAATTACATATTCTGATAGCGCTTGAAATCCTTTATCACCCTGTACTTTGCCTACCTTAAAGTGCATTTGTTTGCCGGTAAATTCTTCAAATATTTTCAATATACCCACGTGTCACACTTCTAGGTATTGTATTCTATGGTTTATCGAAATATTTTCTAATTTTTATTGGAAATTAGAATGATATCTCTGTACATAGTGAAAAATGTCATTGTTCGTACTGTTAAGATCCTAACAGAAAAGCCCTAAACTTATTTCTTCTTATTTCTGTAGCTTTGAGCTGACAATGAACATTTAGGGCTTTTCTTGTAAATTCTATAACTTTGCAAAGAAAGGTCGTGTAGAACTAGGAGATGTCTCATTCTAATCAGAAATTTGTGGACTACAATCCTGTCGCATTAGGAAACGTTTTGGTTACTTTTCAGAGTTTCTGAAAAACTGGTTTTTCAGAAAACCGCTCTCTGAAGGCCCCTGGGCAGCTACCACTATGATATTCGGACTCAGCATAGTTGATAACCTATAACCCAA